TGTTAGCCAGGATGGTCTCAATCTCTTGACCTCCTGATCCACCCGCCTTGGCTTCCCAAAGTGCTGGGATTACAGGCGTGATTGTTTTCCATTTTTAACCATTACAAATAAATTTACTATGAGTATTCTCGTGCAAGGTTTTTTTGGTGACCTACATTTGCACTTCTCTTGGACAAATGCCTCTAAGTCAAATAGCTTCACTATGTGATTAACATTATAAAAAATACCCAAACAGTTCTCCAAGGTGTGCCCTCTTACACTTCCACAGAAACTGACAAGAGCTTCAGTTACTCCGCATTCTCATTCACCAAAGGAGTAGACAGTATTTTTTTTTTTTTAGATGAAGTCTTGCTCTTGTCATCCAGGCAGGAGTGCAATGGCACAATCTCAGCTCACTGCAACTTCCACCTCCCAAGTTCAAGCAATTCTTCTTCCTCAGCCTCCCAAGTAGCTGGGATTACAGGCGCCTACCACCACTCCTGGCTGATTTTTGTATTTTTAGTAGAGATGGGGTTTCACCATGTTGGCCAGGCTGGTCTCAAACTCGTGACCTCAGGTGATCTGCCTGCCTCGGCCTCCCCAAAGTGCTGGATTGTAGGCGTAAGCCACTGCTCCTGGCCAACAGTCTTTAATTTTAATTTTTCTAGGGAGATAATGAAATGGTGTCTCATTGTCATTCTACGTTTCATTTCCATGATGATTAATTTTGTTCAGCATCTTTTTATATGCACACTGGCCATTCATGTATCATGTTTTGTGAGTGTCTAGCCAATTGTGTGTGTCTTTTAATTACTGGTTTGTAGAACTTCCTTATATTCCAGGTACAAGCCTTTTGTCAGATAAATATATCATTAATATTTTCTCCCATTCTCTCATTTATATTTTCATTTGTTTAACCACCTCTTTTGAAGAGCGGAAGAGTTTTAAAGTTTGTTGAAGTCTAGTTTATCAAATTTTTTCTTTGATGGTTAGTGCTTTTGAGTCCTGTCTACAAAATCTTTACCTACCCTGTGGTCACAACGATCTTTCTTTCTTTCTTTCTTTCTTTCTTTCTTTCTTTCTTTCTTTCTTTCTTTCTTTCTTTCTTTCTTTCTTTCTTTCCTTCCTTCCTTCCTTCTTTCTTTCTTTCTTTTTTTCATTCTTTCTTTTTCTTTCTCTTTCTTTCTTTCTTCTTTGTTTTTCTTTTAATGTCTTTAGAAGTTTTGGTGCTGTATCTCTTTCATTTAGGATTATAAATCCATGTAAAATTACTTTTTGTGTGTGGTATGAGGTAGGGATAAAAATTTGTTTTGTTTTATTTTTCTTAACAATATCCAGATGGATCTGGCATCATTTATTGGAAATGTTTTTCTTTGCCCATTGAATTGCTCTGATGCCTTTGTTGAAAGTCAGTTGACTGTGGTGTTTCATTATCTATGTCTATCTTTATTCCAGTACCATGCTGTCTTGTTGCTGTAGGTTTATAGTAAGTCTAGAAACGAAGTAGTGTTAGTCAATAATTTTGTTTCAGAAATATTTTAACTATTCTCGTTTTTTTGAATATCAATTTAAATTTGGGGCTCAACTTGTCAATTTCTGTAAAATCTTGTTACATTGAACCTCCATCTCCTGGTTCAAGCAATTCTCCTGCTTTAGCCTCCCCAGTAGCTAGTATTACAGGTGCACCCCACCACACCTGGCTAATTTTCTGTATTTTTGGAGAAATGAGGTTTCACCATGTTGGCTAGGCTGGTCTTGAAGTCCTGACCTCAAGTAATCTGCCTGCCTCAGCCTCCCAAAGTGCTGGGATTAAAGGCTTGAGCCACCATGCCCGGCCTCCTCCTGCAAACTTCTAAGAAGAGACTGAAGTTGCAGAATCAATTCTCTGCCCTCTGCCAATAGAAAGACACCTCAAGTCTGTTTTCATGCTAAAGCCTTGAAACAAGAAGACATACATTAGCCAGAAAACATATGAACCAAAGTTCATCATCCACTGATCATTAGAGAACCGCAAATGGAAACCACAATGAAATAACATTGCATGTCATTCAGAATGGCAATTATTAAGAAGTCAAGAAACAACAGATGCTGGTGAGCTTGTGGAGAAATAAGAACACTTTTATCCGGTGGGTGGGAATGTAAGTTTGGAAAACAGTGTGGCAATTCTACAAAGATACCATTTGACCCAGCAATGCCATTACTGGGTATTTCCCAAAGGAATATAAATCATTCTGTTATGAAGATACATGGATGTGTATGTACGTTGCAGCACTATTCACAAAAGTAGAGACATGGAATCAATCCAAATGCCCATCAGTGATAGACTAGATAAAGAAAATGTGGTACATATGCACCATGCAATATATTTTTTTAATTTATTTTATTGCATTTTAGGTTTGGGGGTACATGTGAAGAACATGCAAGATTGTTGCATAAGTACACACATGGCAGTGTGATTTGCTGCCTTCCTCCCCATCACCTACATGTGGCATCTCTCCCCTTGCTATCTCTCCCCAACGCCCCACCCCCTACTGTCCCTCTCCTGTTTCCCCCCAACAGACCCCAGTGTGTAGTGCTCCCCTCCCTGTGTCCATGTGTTCTCATTGTTCAACACCTGCTTATGAGTGAGAACATGTGGTGTTTGATCTTCTGCTCTTCTGTCAGTTTGCTGAGAATGATGGTTTCCAGGTTCATCCATGTCCCTACAAAGGATACAAACTCATCGTTTTTTATGGCTGCATAATATTCCATGTACCATGGAATATTATACAGCCATGAAAAGGAACAAGATCATGTCCTTTGCAGGGACATGGATGGAACTGGAAGCCATTATCCTCAGTGAACTAACACAAGAACAGAAAACCAAACATCACATGTTCTCACTTATAAGTTGGAGCTGAACAATGAGAACACATGGACATAGGGAGGGCAGCAACGCACACTGGGGCCTGTCGGGGAGGGTTGGGCTGGGGGCGGCGGGAGAGCATCAGGAAAAATAGCTAATGCATGCTGGTGAGGGGCTGACAGATGAGCAAACCACCATGGCACATGTTTACCTGTGTAACAAACCTGCACATCCTGCACACGTGTCCCAAAACTAAAATAAAATGAAACAAAAAAGACCTGAAGCAAAGCCTCCACCACATACTCTATATCAGTATTAAGTCCTATTGAAAAGAAAAATTTCCAAGCATTTTATCAGAAATCATTTTCGTGGTGTATTCATCAATCTCAGCCACACTAGCATGGCTCTTCTCAGAATTACAGATGACCCACACGCCCCGGCTGCTTCGTCATGTCAGTTACATGGACCATTACTCAGAACGAGTGGGCCCATTTTCAATTTCCTGTTGTAAGGTTAGTCTGTCTTCAGTACATCACAGGACACAGTGGCATTGTAACTAAGATTCATAATGTTTAGCAGGAGAAGGGTTTGTCATCAAGTTCCATAGTCTCGGGGTTGATTGTTTCATTGGTCTTGCTGTTGGATGATTAAGGAAACAGCCTGGAGATTTTAAACACTCCTTAGAAAGCGTTTTCCTCTGGAGGCCTACTTGGCCGCTGCTTCATCTTAATGTGTGCAATTGGAAGTTGTAAATGTGTTCAGAATATATGGGCTTAGAGAGACTGGTTGTGGCTCTGGTAGGTGACAGTGGCAGATAACAGCTTCAGGGTAGATGTCGGATGAATCTGCGTCTCTGGGTTTTATGATCAGGCATCTGTTCGCATTTGTGCTGTCATTAGTCTTTGTCATCATCTCTCAGACTCTGGGGATGGGCCATCCTCATCATCCTTAGTCTGTCTTCCCTTGGCCCCCGGAGCACTGGAAACCTGTGAGTGTGATTCGTCCCTCCGTCTCGGAGCTGCAGACAGTGAAAACAGAAGATAGAGTGAATTTGGTAGA